TTATTTATACACCTTTGCTCCATTCATCACAAACATAAAGCAAAGCAAAAAAAAAAAAATTACATACATCTAAATGTGTTGCAGGCAAAACACTGTGAATCTCACAATCACCTCCAAGCAACTATTCTGCCATCTTAACACATCTTAGGAGACCAGATGGGGAAAGATGGAAAGTCGTTTCTCAGTCTACACGTTCTAGGCCAGGTCCATGTTTATTTTATTTCTTTGGCTGTGTGTTAATAAAAATGATCCTGAGTGGAAGTTGATTGACTGTTCAAAAAGCTAGACAAAGCAAAATAATTGTTGCTAGCAGCTTTGTGTTTGAACAGGAAAATCAACGGAGAAAATAGAGAAATTAAATGTGATGTAAAGGCCTCTATCTTGCAACTTGTATATCTTATTGTTGCTTAAAAATGTATAAAACAGCTGGAAATATTTTCAGTGCAAGGTATTTGAATTAAATGTGAATTTTAAACATGTACTCCCTTAACGAATGACCAAATTCTGGTGAAATATTGCTCCCCACATTCCTTGATCACTGCTATGACTTACAAATCTGCCTAGCGGAGCGGATGTCCTGCGTTTGCTCTCACAGCTGGAGAGATGTTTGTACATACCTGGGCCGTACACATTCTCACTTCGATAGCTCTCTGAGGATGTATTTCCCCTTCAATGGTGACCTGGTATTTGGAATTCTATATTTTCATTTGGTTTATTTCCCTCTTAATGTGATGTCCCTGTGCCGATTTTTACCAGTTCTTAACTGTTTTGCAATCTGTTTTGAGGTCCATTGCTTTACTAAGACCCACTGCATCCTGGCTGATTTCAAAGTGACACATGAATACATTGTTAAAAAACAAGTTTGTTTGTAAATCATGTGACCAGCTTCTCTCAACCTGACATGGAAAGTCTCTTGTACTGCAGTGTATTTAATAAAAACAATGTCTTAAAATAAATAACATCCTCCAAATGAGAGGCTGAAAGTGGCATGCTTACATTTTAAAGATGTGTGAGATTTCCACAAAGCATGTTGTTCTGTTGTAAATACATGCAGGCATATGCTGTCACTGCTAGGTCTGGTCACTGGGGATGCCTGCAGTGTTCACTGGCTGAGGGCAGTATAAGTTCTCTGATCTCCTTGCAAATCTGAACTTTTAACTTCATGGATAACTAAAACGTCCTTACCCATTGCTTTACATGCTAAAATGACATAAAGTTCCCATCTCCATGGCCCATTCTAGAAACCTGCAGCCACACTACCTAGCAGATCTTGAATGCAGCCAGTGTAAATGTATTTAAATACATTTTGAATCTGAAATTGAAATTTAATTTTAATTTACGTTGAGACAGCCATAGTAGGCCAGTGGCTACCATGCTGGACAGGACAGAGTGAAAAGACAAAATTGCTAGTTTCTAAAACATCAGGTCAAAAAACTTTCCTGAGAGCAAGTGCGTTGTACTATCCTAGAGATGGGGCTGCCCTGAGCGTCTGGGTGGTTCAGGAGTCAAGTGTTTCTCTGGCTTCACAGCTGCCTTTCCAGCATCTGGCATCGTTTCCTTCACTTACTGGGAGGTGTAGCCACATCCAGACAGCAATCCTGGCAAACCCTCAAACATTGCCTCCTGCGTAGTTCTCTCGGTGATGAGGGTATATGTTCTTAGTGAACAAAATATGACTAAATTAAAACTTAGCAGGGACATGGGGGAATTCAGAGCTGTCTAAGGCACAGAACAACTTGTCCAAAATTTCAAATAGGATTAAGTGTTTCTGTGGGTTCAAAGTGTATATCACACTCCAAGAAAATGGATTAAGGAGAATTTAATCATCAGTGCCTTGGCTAGCCGTAATGTAATATAGACTATCAGAGGTCCCAGCCAATAATGTGCTACACTGCTCTAACATTGTGCAATTGCAAAGATATCAATGAAAGTTTGAGAGCTGAAGTCAAGTGTTCCAGAACCCTCACTTGTTTCTCTGTATATCCTGCCTAGCACCCCTTTTATCTACCTCTAGAATGCCCAATTTCTTTAGTGTGACCATCATGGCTGAAATGCTGTTACTGAGAACCACATTAAAGCAGGCACACTTATTTTTAGAATAAGTCATCTATTGTTAAGAAGTGCCCCTCATGTACCAGGATTTTATGTGTGTGTTATTAGTTTCTGATAACTGCTGTAAGAGATTGTAACAAACAAGGTACTTCAAGATGACATGCATTCTCTCACAGTGCTAGAGGCCAGAAGTCTGCAGTTGAGAGGGATGGCAGGGCTGGACTCCCTCCAAAGACTTCTGGAAGAATCTGTTCCTTCTTCATTCCACCCTTTGGTGGCCTCAGATGCTCCTTGGTCACATCACACCCATGTCTGCCTCCCTCGTCACATTGTTCATGTGTCTTCTCTGCTGGGTATCTACTTCATAAGGGTATAGGTTATTGTGTTTAAGGTGTGCCCAGACTGCCACGGATATATTAATAAGCTCCCTTTCACTGTGACAAAGTCCCTGAAGTAATACGTGGGGTCTATTTTGCTCCATGGTTTCAATCCATGATCACATGGCTCTGGTGCTTTGGACTGGTGGTGGTGGGAAAGTGTGGTGAAAGTCTGTTCACCTCAGGGAGACGGTGAAGGAGGGAGGGAGGAGAGGGAGAGGGGGAGGGAGAGGGAGAGGGAGGAGAGGGAGAGGGACAGAGAGCAACAGATAGATGGAGGGGAAGAGAAGGAGGAAGTAGAAGAGGAGGAGGAGGGGTCAGCAGTCAGGGTCTTAATATCCCCTTCAAGGGCACACCCCCAATGAAACTAAATCTCCTTACACCTGGCCCTGCTTCCTAAATGTTATGTCACCTCCCAATAGCATCATGGGCTAATAAACAAGTCTCCAACACATAGCACTTATTATCCAAAGCATAGCATTTGTTTTTAAGATCCTTAACTTAATTACATCTTTTACTATTCGTGATAATAGTCAAAGCTTCTATAGTGTATCTCTCAGCTCTCACCAGAGGAGCTTCCTTATGCAGCAGATGGTGATTAACACAGAAATCTACACTGGCCAATGTGCAGAGAACAAGAGTTTGCAGAGTGCTGATCCCTGAATAGGACAATCTATCAAACCTCTGCCTCCCAAGACTCAGGGATCATTGCAGAAGAGGAGGCAGAATGATTGTAAGAGCCAGAGGGGGTGGATGACCACAAGGAAACAGAGTTTTCCAGACAGCTGGTCAGTCACTCATACGAATTCACAGCAATAGTGACAACACGCACAAGTCCCATGAAAGTTCAAACCCAAATAAAAGTCCCATCATAGTAATGAGGAAGTGGGAAAGAAGCTCCAACCCCACCTAAGGAAACTGTGGCAACTGATGGCTGCGGGGAAGGGCAGACAGTCTCTTTCAAGAATGAGGTTCTTGGTAAGTTAACCAGGCTCCAGTGAATGGACTCACACTGGAAGGACATTTGGGGTCACAAATTAGACTCTCTAGGCCTTATTATATACAATACGGTACATTAAGTTGGGCAGGAGCAATAAGGAGTAGGGGGGGATCTAAATACCATCAAATTACACTGTAATTTAGTTTTTTAAAAGGTGGTGATTGGGAGGGAAACACATCTTTTAAGGGGGTACAAGACTCTATCCACTAACTACATTTCTTAATACACTCACCTCTCAAATCCATTCAGCTTATAGACAAGAAATCTGAGGATTTAAAAACTTGTCAAGACACTGAAAGAACTTGACCAGTGGATACTATGCTTACTATATACCAGAGAGATTAATGTATTAACTCATTGAATTTTCAAACCATATGTGACTGAAACCACAGGGCCCAGCTCCAGGCTGTAGGTAGAAATGTGGTATCTGGCTGGATAAGGAAGCCCTTCATTTAGGGTCTGAGCTGGCTGTGTTAACTTAGAGCTTAGGATCTGGGCTCCAGGACCTCAATACTCAGAGGAAAGCAATTTAAGTCTGTGACCATCAGCAGGCAGCCAAAATCAAGTTTCAAAGTTCAAGGAGATTAGACAGTCTATGGGGAGTCAAAATCTGAGCATGAAGCAGGACTTTAGACGTCAGGGACAGGGTAAGAATCTGGCCAATCTAATCTGAAGTCCAAATCAAGCCACAGCTGCCAGCAAAGTGTTCTTGGTAATTTCCTCTGATTTTGTATCCCTAGTTATTCACCCCTCAGTCTGATGGGGGATGAGCCTATAGGTAGAGGGAACTGCCTGGCAATAGGGTTCTGGGGCAAGAGGCAGGACTATGTTAAAACTGGGATTTAGGAACAGCTCTTGCAGACCTCTGACAGATCTCTATTTGGTCATTTCCCAAGTCTAGAGCTTTTGTGAGGCCCCAGGTGATCATCCCCACTTGCTGTCTATAGGTCATAGTACACAATGAAAGCAAGGCTTAGAAAAAATTATTTCCAACAAGCAATGATTTATTTTCCAGATTATAGGCCTGCTGTATAGACAGTAACTTCCTCTCCTAGACTCTGTGCAGAATTCAAACTCAAAAACAGATGTGATAATGGGCTCCTGCAGGACCAGCCCTCTCTCTGCTCCTATCAAGTGACAGCGAGGGACAACTGAGGACTTAGAGAGCTTTTGTCACTGAGGGCTGCACTGTGGACATTAGAGACCCGGGCTT